AAACAAGCCTAGTTTGTTTACAAAATTGCGGCGCAACTTGGTGGGCGGTATCCTGGAAAGAAATCTCAGCGTGAGAAATACAAGGTGTGGCGTGTGAATGGAGTGAAATGCGTGTGTGAGACTTGAGAGCTCTGCGTTACGTCAATATACCGATCCGCGGACTTCCTCACACACACATACTCGGCCGGACGTTGCCAGGCTCGCTGCTGCGGGGAGTGGGACATTGTCGACATTGTGAGCTGGCTCACTGGTGTGGGGTCGGCGAGACAGCGCGGAACTCAGCCTGGGCACACACACAAACTCCCAGCCAGGCTGCGGGTATGTGTGTGTGTTTCGGGCTGGGTTTCGCTGTGTCTCGCAGACGGCCACTGGGCTCACAGGGAGGGGGGCAGGAGCTCCAACAAGCCGTTTAGGACAGAGAGTGAATTCACATAGGCCTACTATACAGAGATGCTGTTTGAGAAACCAATGTGAGTTTGGAACATTGAACAATATAAATCTATTCTAGTAGACCTCAGCAATGGAATTATGATCCGTAGAAATGGCCATGACATGGGATCTTTTAAGGAAAACAAACTTAAAAAGCAAGAATCCTACACATCAAGCTCTCTATATACTATAGTGTAAAAGCTTCTGAATCGGCTTCAATTCAAAGCAAACATTTCTTAACGCTGCGTACATTCACTTTTATTCCACAGAGAGTCTGTGGAGTATAGCCCATTTGAAGAGGAGCAGGATAACGAGTCGTCTGCAGATTCAGTCCGACAGGTGCTCCTTCCTGCAAACTGTAGAGTCAGGTTAACTCTTTTATCCCCGCTCTGCTCCTCAATATCCGCTCTTCTAGCCCGCGGAGTGACTTGACTTCAGGGGCAGAGACGGAGCCGCTGAAATAAAGTTTCCTAGTTTCAGTTAAACTGGTTTTGACAGGATTTCCCCGACTGGTGAGAGCACGTCTGACTCAAGGCGGGGTTCTCCCAGGTGAAGAAACACCAGGAACCTGCATCAGAATCAGATTTTAGAATAAAATAAAATAGGAATGTTATATAAAGACATTGAGAAGTTAAAGTTGTGTAAGTGTAGTAAATGTTTTACTTCATTTGAACATGTTTGCTTCAGTAAAATGTAACATGGTTGAATGGACTAGAGACTTCATCAAAGCCACACCCTTTAAACATTCAGCATTATATCTTATTCAAACTAATGCATAACTTTAAATGCACACTTTTTATCTTGTGTTTATATAAATAGCTTTATTCTATATTCGTTGTAATCTTTTATTGCCATTTTTACTATAACTTATGTTTATAAAGTTAAAAAGTAGGTCTTATCTTCATAAAAATCGCTGTATTTTATTTTTGATTTACACTTTTCCTTTACCTCTTGAGCCTTAAATGTATGATCGCTGTTCACTGCCCTCAGGTACAATATTTAATAATCAATTAATACAAAAACATGTTGGTCTTAGTTTTATCTTTAGATATAATTAAAAGGCCAGTACCAGAAGACCCGAGGGTCCGAAAGGGACCTGCAGTATAAATGATTTCAAGCTGTGGGATCGGCTTTTTCTTTTTTTATCAATACTTTTCTTTCTTTTTACAAACTCAGTGATGGCACAACAAATACATACATAGAAAAGAAAACACACAAAAACAGCTAATATTTTTAACACGTGCATAAGAGGTTACAGGAGACCCACTTGAGGTTCCTCTCACAATAACAGCTGATAAATCAGGCCTAAGAAAAGTTCAAGGCAAGGCACATTTATTTATATATAGCACCTTTGAAGTAAGGTTCTCAGGTGTTATAGATATGGTCAGATTTGGCTGTGTTAAATGTTCCATGGAAACAGACTCACGTATATATTTTGCGCCGGCCTTTAAGAGACGGGCCCTCATCACTGGTTCACTGTAGTAGTCCACATTTGGCTACATTAGCTGAGGTAGTGTTGTTTTGGGGGATCAACATGTGGAAGTATCATTAGGCTAACTATTTAACCCCGAATTGCTCCCGATGGCATGACGCTGTGAGCGTTAGCTTCCCTTGAGCAGGTTGAAGCCTCTGAATGAATAGGTGAATTCTGACTTGGATACAGTATGCAAAAGCTCTGGACAAAAAGCGATATAAACTCAGTCCATTTATGAAAATCAGACCATTAAGTGCTTTAAAAAGAAAGTCAACGTTTCAGTTCTTTCAGTGTAACGCGTCATAGTAGCCCCAGTAGAACAAACCCTCTGTTGACTAATATCGAGTTAACGAGCCCCACAGCCATGTACGTGACGAACTTATACGGCACTTCGATTTCTCTCCTCCTCCTCGCATTGGGGTCACTGTTCTCCACGCTGTAGCAGGAGAACAGCGCCTTCAGACTGAGGGTCTTCACCAGCTGGCGAGTTCCCAGTAAAGCTACGATTCCCAGCAGGGAGCGAGCGCCTCCACGAAACACAGAGTTTAACGTCAGAGGGGGGAGACGTGCAGGTATCTTCTCCCCCAGAGGGTGAAGCGGTCCCCCCAGCTGATGGTCCAGCCAGTAGCCCACCCAGCAGCCTCCTGACGCCCCCAGTATGGTGGTGGTGTCCCCCCTGGTGGTGCTGTAGTGGTCCAACTGGGGGTAAGAGTAGCTGAGGAAGAGGGGGAGAAACACGCCCAGCAGGGGGGAGAAGCTGCTGGAGAGCTGGAACCGATCGATGGACTCCCAGTACGGGTAGGTGGAGGACAAGATGAGGGCGGAGATTAAGACGCCACTGAGCACGTCCTGAAAACAGAATTAATAATAACAATTAATTTTGTTTACTTTTCATGGAACTTAAAGACACTTTACATGAGGGGTGTCCGGACATTTTGAATCGGCCCTCAGTAAACAAAGTATAATGAAATATGGCCCACACGTGAAACTTGCGCTTGTCTTATATTGTACTTCTCAAAATATATTACACAATACTCATGTGTTAAGACCAATTTCAATTAAATTCATTCAATTAAAGTTCTAAACATGTTCTAACAAATCTAAGTTGATGAGAAAAAGCCCAATAACAAATTCACATAACAAGCTTGCAGTATATGCTTCATATTTCTCCTTATTATAATCAATCTGAGGCTTCTGTTTTAAGGAATGAGCTGCTAACAAAATAAATGAAACCCCTTTTGAGAGTTGGGATATAGGCTGTTTTTTTTCTTAAAGCATATTCAAGTATCAAGCATAATTTGATTGATTTTCCTAACTTATAACTTCACTTATGAGGCAATATACCTCTACCCTTTGTATGTTTTTCAGTATGTGGCCCTGCCTTACATGATTTTGAGTTGGTTTCCTGATGGTTGATTCCACTTTTTTTTAAGTTGCCTTAGATGCAAGCGTCAGCTAAATTCAATGTAATGTTGCATGTACAGTAGTGTCAGAAACTAAGGGGGGCAAAACAGCACCAAGAAATCTCTTAATGGGCTTAAAACTGTAAACGAGGGGCAAAAGATACCCCAAGATTTAAAAAAATATATAAATGTATCTTGAAATATATGAATATATTTAAATGACACAATGATGGCAAAACATATTTATTTTACTGGCAGTTGTGGAGAATCAGAATACCTTTATTCGTGCCACAGAGGGGAAATGTACGATTGTTACAGCAACGAGAGCCAAAGGTAAGGCTTTATAACTCAATATATCACTCAAGAAGCATGCAGTAAAAACATTCTATAAATTACACAATGTGCACGCGATATAGCAGCCAGGTGAAAGAATACAAAGTTGGTAGTATAAATTGCACATAAGTAGTAATGCACGGCAGGAGTGTTATAAGGCGCTTTCACACCGGAGTACTTTTACCCTAGGGCGACTGTGGCTGTGAGGGAGTGTGGTCGTCTTTCAACCAGAAGGTTGTGGGTTCGATCCCAGCCCATGCAGTCAACATGTCGGTGTATCCTTGGGCAAGATACTTAACCCTGAGTTGCTCCCGATGGCATGGCCAACGGTGTGTGAATGTGTGTGAATGTTAGGTCCTAGAGTAAGGTACACTGCTCTGTATGAATGGGTGTGAATGGGTGAATGACATGTAGTATGTAAAGCGCTTTGAGGGGTCTTAAAGACTGGATAAAGCGCTATATAAGTACAGTCCATTTACCCGTACTTTTCCCGTTTAGTTCCGTTAGTGCCTGGAATTTTGCGTTCACACCAAAAAGAGAACTTAGTTCCGAGAACTTTTAGCCCCATGTTTAGTGCTAGAGAGGTGGGACTATCCTGGGGGAGAGAAAAGTAACAATTTCTGATTGGCTGGGCGAATTGCAAACCACGCCCCGTAAAACTCTGAAAGGTTTTGTGAAGCCGCCATTGTATTTGCTGGCATTAGCATTATTAGCATTAGCCCCGCGCACCAACGGAGAGAGACTAACTTATGGCAACACAAAAAAAATCATGGGAGCGGTGGAGATGAGGAGGTGTCGGCGTTCTGGCGATTTACTCGGAAGGCTTCAGTAGAAGCTGCTGGGAGTCCCAGCAGTCCCCAACTCCGGGGACTTCCGGCCGGGGACTCCGGGTGGCAGTATATGCCGTG